AGCAAAGATTGCCTGACTAATTTCCATGGCATGAATCTTACCCATGACAAGATGTCATGGTCAAAACATGGCAGACCATGACTGAAGCTCATATTGATGTCAAAACTACTGATGGTGCCCTGGCTGGTTTGGCTTAGCAGTTAGAACGTCGGCCTGTGGTCCCGAGAGGCCTGGGTTCGGTTCCCACTAAGGGGCATGTACCTTCGTTGTGGTTTGTCCCCGGCCCTGGTTGGGTCGTGCGGGTGGCAGCCACTCAATGTGTCCCTTTCACGTCAATATATCTCCCTCTCTCTCCCTCCTACTCTATCTGAACAAAAAAATGGAAAGATGTCCTCGGGTAAGGATTAAAAATATATATATATACTAATGATGGTTATTTGCTTCTAAGTGGTCAATAAGTTTATTCCAGATAGCATTGGAAAAGACATTGAAAGGCTTGCCAATCGATTTATCCGTTCCATGATGTCTTTGTTAGAAAAATCAAAATGCTGAAGAAGCCCAAGCTTGAATTGGGAAAACCCATGGAGCCTCACGGTGAGGACAGCAGTTCTGGAAAAGCTACTGGGGCTGAGACAGGTGCTAAAGTTCAATGAGCAGCCCTGGCCAGTTTGGCTCAGCGGTTGGAGCGTCGGCCTGCGGTCCGGAGAGACCCGGGTTTAGTTCCCGCTAAGGGCACGTACTTCGGTTGCAGTTTGTCCCCGGCCCTGGTTGGTCGTGAGGGTGGCAGCCACTCGATGTGTCCCTTCACGTCGATGTTTCTCTCTCTCTCTCCCTTCCTCTCTCTCCCTCCCACTCTATCTGTACAAAAAATGGAAAAATATCCTCGGGTGAGGATAAAAAAAAAAAAATTCAATGAGCAGATGCATATGAACCCCAGTCCAAGAACCTGTTTAAAATTCAGACGTAATGTGACTAAAAATACTATATGTGTGAGAAAAGAAAGTTTAACACAATGCCTGTCCAAGCTACAGACTAAAGGCATGCATGCATTCAACAGTTGGGAAATGACATATATATAAAGTAAAATCCAAGCTCTCCAGAATCTCGTAGGGCTAGACATTTTAGATAGCTATGCTTTCTAGATAAGCTACTGCTTGTCCTTTCAAATAACAAAAATTTTATCTGAATCATTTTGAATAGAAAACGAAAATGTTTTTCCTACTTTCATTAACAAGCTATAGTGAACATAATTTAATTTTTATTTGATGGCTAAGATTAGTAATAAACAGAAATTATAGCAGTAAGCTATAGTTTGATGATGCTTAGGGCCTCACCAGATGTATAGGGCTATATACATCTATGTTAATAGACTCAAAATACTGGGGGGAGGAGGGGGATCCTAGATTTTAAAAGCTCTTTCTGTTTCTTTGTCAATCATACAGACATATCATACTACCATAAACGCTGTAAGGAAACAGACCATGTACTGAGAGAGGATTAATTTTTTTTATTCAAATTATAAGAAAGATTATTTAGAAAGTTAGAGGTAGAAGTGAGCCAGCTGGGCGGTGTAGACTCAGGAAACAAGTTACAGCAGCAGCAGAAGGACCCTTGGAGCTTAGGAGAGAGAAAGGCAAAGGTAAGGTGCCTGGAGGGGAGAGGAGGGGGAAGGGAGAGGCGCGGGTGGGACTGACTGGTTTTGATCGAGTACCTATTATATACCGTGTTTGAGAGAAAACTTTGCAGGACGTCTAGCAATCGGCCTGGCACAAGTAGATGATGGGTAAACATTGGACAAGTGAATGGCATTAATGTGCCTGCCTGAGCAGGTCCACTCCCTTATTTACTGTTTCTAATCTGCCAAAGTTTGGAAAACAAGTACCCAAATGTGAAAGAACACCATTTAAATGTCTGGCATGGTACTTTGCACAAAGCAGGTGCAGCACGGCGAAACTGTATGTGCTGAACGGCACTGAGGATGGCTAACAGTGAGCACTCACAAGGTGCCGGGAATTGTGGTAAGTTTCTTACATGCATTACCTAAGACAGTCCCTATAAGGCAGATAGTATTATCCCCATTTTATATGCAGATACTGAGGTTCAAAGTGGCCGAGTACTCTGTACAGGGTCAGCGGCAGCAGCGGGACGTGAATCCAGCAGTCTGACTCCAGAACAAGTGGCCTTAAGCACAATATTACACTGCCTCTGCACGCACAGGAGGTAAGCGAAGGTCGGAAGGACATGAAGTTTATTGCAACTTTTTTTTTTTTTAATCTCGAAGACTTCTTTGCTGACTTTCTGACTCTCATGTATGTTCTCAATGGTGAGGATTACTATACATAAACATTATACTAACAGACCAAAGCAATAAACTGAAAGTTGGGCAAGCAAAGTATCAGTCGGCAAGCTACTGTACACTACAGATGATGGGTCCCAAAGAAGTAGAAGCTTGAGAGATCAGTGTGTATTAGGGTCATCGGGGAAGGCTTTAAGAAGTTAAGACCTAAGCCCAAGCAGTGTAAGAGAAAAGGGATAGGGTGAGAGAGGGGACATCGTGTAGCTTAAGAAATAAGCACAAAGCTTTTGTGGAATAGTGGGGGGCATCATAAATAGATGACCAGAGGTATACACGAATAAACAAATGAAAAGACAAACACACATGTGGTCTGGAACATTTATATGCACTGCAGCTGTAAGCTCCTATTCCCGCTGGCTTTACTTGGTCACTCAAACAGCTGGACAAACGTAGGTTACAGTTGCATTACCAGTCAGGGTAGGATATGGAAGTTAGTGCAAAGACTAAGTCTGAAACTATGATTTCACTGCTCTTATTAAATACGCAGGGTCCCTGAAGTGGGGAGTGTAGGCAGGGTGGAACCACCCTCTACTATTTCCAAATCTCAAAAGACAGGACATGCTGACCTAGAGCTTATTTAAACACAAGAGTCCCATTTGCTCAGAAATCTTTCACTAGGTTGAACCAGAGTCACCTCTAATTAATGACACACCTAGTATAACAAGTGCCTGCAGATCCTCCTTGCCCCTAGGGGTCACAGGGATGAGAGGCTGGCTCTTAGGCTATCTACCATCTCTACAACAGACACAGGAGCAAGTTGGGAGTCAGCTCTCTTGCGCAGGGAATGGAGACACCACCGTCCACACTTCATGACAAACTGGACATATTATATTAGCATGAGGCCCAAAGTAAAAGCATTGTGCTCAACAAAGATTTCCTAGTCTTGCTTAACTACACGGCACCTAAAATCCTCAGCCAAGTTTCAACAGTCTCTGAGTGAGAGCACTAAAAGTAACTTGACCTGTACTTGAAGGCAGGAGATGTGTGAAAATTTCTCACTTCAGCAGGATATACTGGGGGTTAAGGTATCTCTGGCAAACCTCCAAATGCCACATCATTCAGCTCATTAGAAACAGGCATCTCCGAACTTGTGTAGTCTTTCACTTTTCAGACATCAGAAGTACAGAAATATCAAAGTAATCCAGGTTAGATTCAAAACCCAATTCACTCATTCAAAGTACATTTATTCAACACCTGTGAGTTGTCAGGCACTGATCTAGGGGCTCAGAATATAAACATGAGAAGACTAAGTCACTCTGAAAGATGGAAGTGTACCCATCCATTATTATTACCACTCAAGGCTCTAGGAAGGAAATTCTTCTAGTGTCTAACACCAAATAAGTCTCCTTTCCCACTCCTGTGCTTCTCATCATGGTGTGCCCACCTGGAATATTGTACTTCTTCACCTAACCAAATCCTACTTCTTTCAAAGCCAGCTGAAGTGCCCCTCCTCCTGGAAGCCCTGATGTCCCTCATCCCAAAGTGACACCTCATTTCTCTCTAAACTACTAACAATTATGGTGAGTACCACCATCCATTTATTTAGAAATTTATCATCCTCTGCTACTTTTATTTATTCAACAAATCCTGAGTACCAATTGTGTGACGACATTCTTCTAGGGGCTGGAGAAACTGCAGCAAACAATACTGGTGTTTGCATCCCCAAAGAACCCTAAGGAGAGTTCTTCTCTTATACTACTTTTAAAATCTTCCTGTAGAGAGCTGAGTTCCTACTTGGTGCTTAATACTCAACAATTTATTAAAGCCTGGGGCTCCCTTGGTCCAAGCTCACCCAAACTGAAGTTACAGAAACTAATGGGGAACAGAAGCAAACCAGGCCATTTCTAAATGAACTTCCACTTCTTAAAAACCTCAAAAGAACAAGGAAGGAAAAGAAAACAGGCTATGAAAGTGCTGCTGAACCAACACATTTTACTCACATTGACAATCCCTCCCTCCAAACCATGAAAAGTGATCTTTTTTCTTCTCATTCTTTACAGCTCAGGGTCGAGTGTTTATTTTAAGAACATCTTGGAGAAGTATGGAGCACCCTCAGTTTCCTAAACAAGTCTTTCTAAAGCTTTATTCTTGATGAATAAACCTCATGGTGAATCCTGCATATGCCACTTAACAGGCTGTCTAATCCAATGAGGTTCACAAGAAACTAGAAGTTGAGCTTCAAGCACAAGAGGGTTCAAAGAACTCTGTGAAGGTGATAAGTCCAGAGGCAATTTTAATATAAATAACAAAAGCCAGGTCCTGCAGAACCCAGTGGAAGATTCCAAGTTCCCAAAAGAAGGGAATTAAGAGACTTTCCTCCAGGGGCGCCGCGAGATTCTGCAAGGAGTGGCAGACTCTGCAGGAGCTGTGGGAGATTTAAAAACATATATTTTTTGCTCTAAAGAGGCTTATTAGATACAACAGCTGGCACCCTATAGCGGGCGAGGGTGAAGCCGGGCTGTGCCATGCGGCAGAGGCTGCCACCTGGGCACTCCCACCATTCTTCGTAGCCAGGTCAGGAGGTGAGACCAGGAGAGCCCGGCGCCTTTGGGACCCGCACCGGCGTTCCTTGTCCCGCGGGCCGCCTGCCCTCGCCTCGGGGCACCCTGAAAACCCACCCCGCCCGGGTCTCAGGAGCCTCAATCTCTCTAGGGACCCACGAGACTAGTCCCCAGGCGGCTGCCGGCGCCGGTGCGTTACCTACCTGAGCAGACTGGAGAGAGGATGGCTCGAAGAGCCGAGGCCGCCGCCGCTGCCGCCGCCGCTGCCTCCGGAGCCGCTACCGCCGCCGCCGCCCCCGAAGCCGGAGGAAAGCCGCTTCCCGGAGAGCAGCTTCTCCACGGCCGGGAGGTGCCCGGTGCGGGCCGCCTCCAGCAGCTCCTGCTCCTTCCCCATCCCCAGGGCCGCCGCCCCCTGGACCCCCTTCCCGGGGCTGCAGCTGAGCCTGCTCGGGCTCCCAAACTTTCCGTCTCCGGGCAACGCACCCCCCAAAACCGGCCGGGGACACCACCCCCCTCCCCCCCGCCTTTCCCCCCACCAGCGCGTCACTTCCGGGATCCGGCGTCACGCGTCACCGCGCCCCCGCGTCCCACCCCTTGCCCACCTAGCTGGGCGGGGCTCGGCGGGCGCGCAGGTGGATGCGGTCTGCGCCCAGTGGTCCTGGCTGTGCCAAGCTAGGTCTCCAGGGGCAAGAGGAAAACGCCGTGTGGGCGCCCGCTGCACAGGTGCAAGGGAACAAACGCGGCCCACCTGTATCCGCCTCCCGACGTGCGCTCCTTCCAAAGGTTTGGGAGCCCCAGAACAGTAAATACGGTAACTCATCCAGGCAGGGTAGAAACAAAGAGAGAACTGCGGTAACGCGCACCTACATTTCCTAGTCCATTCTTTCGGTACGCATACATTCAATACGTAATAGGTGTGGGGACCCAGTGATAACGGAGGTGAAAAATAAAATGCCCCCTCTCCGTACCTCAATGACGGAAGAGAGGAAAATTTTAAAGTACCCCCACTTCTTCGTGCTCCCAATCCCTGACATGGCTCCTAAAGTGAAACTTAAAGGAAAGACCTCCCTCCCGGCAGGATTTGTTTGCCCTTACTTTTGATGAGATTAACCAAACTGACATGAAAAGTCAGGTTTGGGGAACTGACCCCGACCTTGAGTACTGGTGAATGGGAAAAACCATTTAATTGGTATAAAGTACTTTTGTTTCTGGCACCAGCACTGTTCCTGGCTCCAGTGGGCGCTCCACGGCCGTGCAGTGAATAAAGGGGCTGGATAAATGCCGTTCAGGCTACGTGACTTGAGGTGCTCAAGCAACAGAAATGCTGGCCATGCCGTGTGAGCACGGCCAGTCGGCCTGCACGAGGCCGCGCCCCTGCCTGCAAGTTTGCCGGGAGCCGCGTCCCAGACCCGCGACCGCCACGCACTGCTCCCTCGTCCCCACACTTGACTCGAAGAAAGCGGGTTAAGGAAGGAGTTCACTGACGTGGCTGTTCGGAGAGGCGGGACGGGAAAGAAGCGCTTCAGTAATGAGCACAGCACCCCTTTAGCAGGCTGGTGCCCAGGATGGAAAACCCACACACTGCAATCCGTACCCTTCATCTTCCCTCGCCCCACAGCCTCCCAGTCAGATAAACCGGGCCCTCAAGTCGCCTCAGAATGACCCTCCGGGGAGCTGTAGGGGTGATGTCATCGCAGCGCGACGCCAGGAAGTGAGCCGCTGGTGGCTGTGCTGCGCGCGGCCCGAGCTCCTGCGTGTGCCAGCCCCGCGGTCTTCTCTGCCGGCGTCTCCGGCGATGGATAATGCCTGCGAGTCGCCCACGGAAAAAGGTGGAGACACAGCGGCGTCGGACGAGACGGCCCCGCCTCCCGGGGGCTCCGGGGCTCCTGACACGGACGGAATCCCGGAGGAAACGGACGGGGACGCGGAGGCGGACGTGAAAGAAGCCGCGGCTGAGGACGGCGAGGTAGGGAGAGAGGTGTGGATGAGGCCGGGAGTGCTCCGAGATCGCGTCACTGGCTGTTCCACCGGCCTCCCGGCCGATCCCTCCTGAGCGGAGACAATTCGAACTCACCAGGACTCCCTGTAGATCTGCAGTCGCGGAGGCAGGTGCGGGGCAGGGAAGACAAAACTAGAGTGCTGGTCCCGTTCCAGGGACCCAAGCACTGGTTAATATTTTTAATCCCTGCCCTTGACTATTAAAGCCACTTCTAAGGGAATTTTAAATAGCCTGTTGGTTTTAATGGTGAGGAAAGTGTGGTCTGATGTCACACCGAGATGGTGCAAGAGCTAGAGCCCAGGATTCCTAGAATCCCTTTCACTGCGATATGGTTTCTCTTAGATGCTTAAGCTTAACTTTATTATAGGCTGCAGAGTGGTTAAAGGGAGTTACTGGTTTAATTACCTTCTTACCCTTTTGGGACATTTAACTGCTCAACTGCTACCAGTGATCTGGGTGCTAATGTCCAGTGGTCTCACTTTTGCATAGACACACCAAACCCATCAACTGTGCCACACCAAAAGCTCAGCAGTGTTGCCTGGGGGAGCCTCAGTTAGACCAGAATCTCAGTGTTCTCAGGGTTCCACTTCTGGAGATAGCATCTTGGGTCCTTAGAGCCCTAAGTAAGGGGCTAAAAGACTAAAGAAGGACATTGGATTAGAGCATAAAGTTGCATCAAAATATATAAAGTAAGAACTTTTAGAAAAAGTACAATATCATGAAACTTTTAAAAAGGAACCTTTGAAACATCTCAAAGACAGAAAGGATTTGAAAAATAATTAACTTAGTCCTCTACATACAGAAATTTGCACCCAACAGAAGATAAAATTCTTTTGTTGTTGTTAATCCTCCCCTGAGGATATTTTTTCCATTGGTTTTTAGACAGAGTAGAAGGAGTGTGTGGGGAGAGACAGAGAGAGAGAGACAGAGCTAGGGATCAAACTTGCAAGCCAGGTAATGTGCACTGGACCAGGAATCGAACCCTAGACCCTTCAGTCTGAGGGCCGACACTCTAACCACCGAACTACACTGGCCAGGGCATAATTCTTTTTTTGTTTGATGCTTCCAAAACACTTAAAAATCGACTGTATACCTGACCACACAGAAAAACAAAAATTCTTACAAGTAGAAATCATAACAGACAACATCCTGTTAGTACAGTGCAATAAATTTAAAATTAACAACAAAAACTCCCACCCCCACTATCTCCCCCCCCAAAAAAAACTAACACCTGGACATTTTAAACTGTTTTCTAAATAGCCTCTAGATTAAAGAAGTTAACAAAAAGACACTACATCAAATGCTTTGGGGTTTGAGCACATCCTTATTTAAAAACAATTCATAGCCTTACATATTTTTTTAACAAGCAGAAGATATTGAAATTAAGCACCCAACTCAAGAAACCAGAATAATAATGAAATAAACCAGAGGAATGTAGAAAGAAGGAATTAATAAGAATAAAAGTAGATATTAATGAATGAATGCTTAAAAAACATAAATAATAAAGCCCTAGTTATTTGAAATGTAAATGTACAAAATGAAAAAAGAAGGGCTATAGGCACTGATATGGAGATCTTTAAAGTTATAAGAAAATTTAATGTTCAAGTTTAGGCCAAATACATTTTTAAATCTGAAGCCCAGCTGCTGTGGCTCAGTGCCTGGGCGTCAACCCATGTACCAAGAGGTTGCTGGTTCGATTCCTGGGCAGGGCACGTGCACAGATTGTGGGCCAACCCCAGTGGGGGGACATGCAGGAGGGGAGCCAATCAATGTTCTCTGTCACTAATGTTTTTATCTTTCTCTCCCTCTTCCTTCCTCTCTCTCTAAATTCAATAAAAGGAAAAAAAGTTTTTTAATTTTTTTAAATCTAAGAAAAGTTGCTCATTTTTTAAAGAAAATATAAATCACCAAAACTGAAGCAGAAAGAAGTTAGAAAACTTATATAAATCAGTAACTAGAGAAGAAATTGAAAAGGTGGCTAAAGATATTCTACCTTCACTTACCTCTCATATTCCTCTGAGTTTAAAGTGAGTTCTTTTAGGAAAACAAAATTTAAATCCTATTAATGAGGTTTTTGTACCGTAGATTGTAAATTAAGTTGGAGGGGATAAAGTTTGTTTTGATTTTTTGTTGTTGTTGTTTTTATTAAACATCTAGCATGAATAAAACTATGCTAAATGCTTTAGTGTGGAGAAATAAATGATAAAAACCTATCTTCAAAAAGTTTTCAGTCACCCTGTCTGGTTTGCTCAGTAGTAAGAGCATTGGCCTGCAGCCCAAAGGGTCTCCTGATTGATTCCTCATCAAGGGCACATACCTGGGTTGCAGGTTCGATCCCCAGCCCTGGTCTGGTTCATGCCGGAGGCAAGCAATCAATTTGTCTCTCTCACATCAATGTTTCTCTCTCTCTCCCCCTCCCTCCCTCCTACTCTATCAAAAAATCAATAGAAAAATATCCTCTGATGAGGACTAACAAAACAAGAAAAATTTTCAGTCTAGTAATATTTGCATGATACAGCATTAAAAGACAGTGAAGATGCCTGGCCTGTGTGGCTCAGTGGTTGAGCGTTGACCCATGAACCAAGAGGTCACCAGTTCATTTCCGGGTCAGAGCACATGCCTACTTGTGGGCCCGATCCCCAGTGGGGGGACATGCAGGAGGCAGCCAGTCGATGTTCTCTCTCATCGATGTCTCTGTCTCTTTCTCCCTCTCCCTTCCGCTCTAAAAATCAATAAAGAAAAAAAACATTTTTTTAAATCATAATGAAGAAAAGAGTACTGCGTGTGGGAGGAGCTCACTTAAATGTTTCAAATTCAAAGAAACACTGTTGTCATGAGAAAATGCCTCCTTTTTAATATTTCCACATGGAATCATCACAAGTGAAGAGATCTATAGATTTAGAGGCAGAAGAGTTGACAGAAAAAGGACTTTTCTGACATCCTCTGTAAAGAATGAGATTAGGAGAGTGGGCTTAGGGGGAGAGAAGTTTTAATGAGCCTTCTCATTTTATTGCCCTTGTAAACAGATATGGAAGCTAGGATCATAGCTAAATAGAAAACTGAATTTTTAGCTAGTTATCTTTCCACAGCTGGGCTATAAACTTCTTTAGGAGAGATAATGTATCCTACCTTTGATGTTACAGCCAGTGCCTGGAATGAAAGAAAAAGCTACTAAATGAATGGATTTGTTGTGTTGTAATGAGAATGATGTCTTCTCACCTTGCCCAAGTCTGGAAAATAGGCCAAATATATAAAAGTGTTTCTTTCGCCCTGGCCGGTTTGGCTCAGCGGTTAGAACGTCAGCCTGCGGTCCGGAGAGAGCCGGGTTCGGTTCCGCTAAGGGCACATACCTTGGTTGCAGTTTGTCCCCAGCCCTGGTTGGGTCGTGTGGGTGGCAACCACTCGATGTGTCGCTTTCACGTCGATGTTTCTCTCTCTCTCCCTCCCTCTATCTGAACAAAATATCGAAAAAATAAAATATAAAAATAAAAAAGTGTTTCTTTCATCTCCAAAGCTCAAGAGTCAGGACATCTCGGATTTAACAGCAGTTGAAAGGGAAGACTCATCGTTACTTACCCCTGCAGCCAAAAAACTGAAAATAGACACAAAAGAAAAGAAAGAGAAGAAGCAGAAAGTAGATGAAGATGAGATTCAAAAGATGCAGTAAGTTACTTTCTTATCTTTCCCCATTGCAAGGCTCTAACTTGACCACACAAAGTTAATACATATTTCTTGACCTTTAATTTATTTTCCTTTTATAAACTCAAAAGAAAATAAAGAAGTTAATACATTGGTATATCATAGAAAATATCACCTTGCCACCAAGATAAGTACTGTTAATATTTTGATGTATATTCTCCAAGATATTTTCTATACATATACAGGGATGGGCAAAAGTAGGTTTATAGTTGTAATACAAATAAATAATACAATAATAAATAAGAACACAAAAGTAAACTGTTTTGCGTACTCACAACTGTAAACATACTTTTGCCCACCCCTGTCTGTAAATTAAATTTAAAATTTCAAAGATGTTAAATACTGTTTGTAACCCTTTTTTTTTTTTTACATTAAATATTTTAGATGTATTGCATGCCAGTAACTGTATGTCTAGGTCATTGTTTTCTTCAAAATGGAAATAACTTTATTATGTTTTCTTATTGTAAAACTAGTATGGCCTCATTACAAATAATTCAGAGAATACAGAAAAATAGAAAAAAATAATTACCCATAATCCTACCACTTAGAGTTCACCCTAGGGTATATACCTTTTCAGGGTTTTTTTTTTAGTGTTTGATATGTATTGCTAAATATTTTTATGTCAGTAAATATAACTGTAAATCATCATTTTTAATGGCTGCATTGTATACCATTGTGTGGATGAATCATAATTTAACCAATCCTTGCAGCTGTTCTGGTGTTTTAGATTTTTTTCTTTTGACAACATTATGATGAATATCTTGAGCACATCTGTACATATTTGTCCATTTGCTTACTAAAATAAACTAGAAATGTAGATGCTAGTTCAAATAGTATGAATATTTTCAAAGGATTTTCATATGTTTTTTTTTTTTCTTTATTCATTTTAAAGAGAGAGTAATGGAGAGGGAGAGAGAGAGAAAAAAACACTGATGAGAGAGAACATCAATTGGCTGCCTCCTGCATGTCCCACATTGGGAATCAGGCCCACAACCTGGGCATGTGCCCTGACCGGGAATCGAACCAGCAACCCCTTGGTGCATGGGTCGACACTCAACCACTGAGCCACACTGGTCGGGCAGATTTTCATATGTATTTATAAATTCTCCAAAATTATTGTTTCACTTCACATTTCACCAGCATGTATGAGTTCCTGTCTACCATTCTTTTTAATACTTGTCAATCTGGTTTATGAAAAATGTTATCTTATTTATCATTTTAATTTCTATAACAGTGAAGGTTAATTTTTTCCCTCTATACTTATTGGCCATTGGTGTTTTTGTAAATTTTCTGTTCATGTCCTTTGCTCATTTTCTAAAATTGGTATGACCATCGTTTTATTTATTTGAAAGAATTAATTCCTGTAGAGCGTTAACCCTTTTCCATATATTTTACAAATATTTTCCTCCTTAATCTGTTAATGTTGAAAACTACTGGGTTGAATATAAATTTATATATTACATTTTTACCATAATGTGAAGTGTAGTAGGGTAGCATTATAGGGAGAACCTAATGCTGAAAACACAATCTATATGGTATGATACAGTGACACAACATTGTTGTTTAAGTTTTTGTTCTTAAAGTAAGAAAGGAAGTTATGTTTCACTTATTCTCAAGTTCCTTAAGAGTAGAAATATTTTATCTTCATTCCTCATGTTCACCAAACCTAATACTACTGACCCCTTGAAAATTCATTTGCTAATTGACACTTGATTTCATTGATGTAATAGTATATTTTAAGCATTCTTTTATTTTTTTTTTAATCCTCACCCAAGGACATTTTTCGATATTTTGTTTAAGTAGAGTAGGAGGGAGAGAGAGAGACAGAAACATCAACGTGAAAGGGACACATTGAGTGGTTGCCACCCACAGACCCAACCAGGGCCGGGGACAAACTGCAACCAAGGTACATGCCCTTAGCGGACACCGAACCCGGGTCTCTCCGGACCGCAGGCCAATGCTCTAACTGCTGAGCAAAATCGGCCAGGGCTAAGCATTCTTTCTTATAAGTGAACTTAACTACCTGAATCTTTGTCTAGAATCCTGGTTTCTTCATTTTCTGAGGAGCAGCTGAACCGTTATGAAATGTATCGCCGGTCAGCCTTCCCTAAGGCAGCTATTAAAAGGGTAAGGATGGACTACTGTATTTCATTTTCATCAGCTATGAGGACCGAACTGGACCCCAGAATTATGTCCATTGGCATTTGGAAATGAGGTATTGGGCACGTTGGTAGACATTTAGGTGGGAAAATAAAAATAATACGTCCCTCAATAATCTGATCAGTTGCAGTTTTGTATTCCAGGGATAGGGTCTTGACAAACAGAATCCTTGCCTCAATAGTCTCAATTTCAGCATCTGACCTTTAGTAAACACTTTTTCAGTGCAGAGCTCTTTTGGGTACTTGTTTCTAAAGCCAGGCCTTGACTACCTTAATCAGAGTCTTTGTCCTTCTTTCCAGCTGATCCAGTCCATCACTGGCACCTCCGTGTCTCAGAATGTGGTTATCGCTATGTCTGGTATTTCCAAGGTTTTTGTTGGGGAAGTGGTAGAAGAAGGTGAGTGTTGTTGGTATAACTAATGGATTGAACTTGTGATGGTCTTATTTTCAAGAACATCTGGACTGAGGGACTTAATAAGGCAGCTGTAGTAGTTTCCACTTACACTAGAAGTTGATCAAGGGGGGAACCTTTTTTTTTTTTAATTTTTTTTCCTTTATTGACTTAGAGAGGGAAACATCGATGAGAGAGAACATCAACTGGCTCCTCCTGCATGCCCCCCACTGGGGATTGGGCCCACAACCTGGGCATGTGTCCTGACCGGGAATGGAACCGGCGACCTCTTGGTGCAGTGTCGATGCTCAACCCCTGAGCCACACCAGCCTGACAAGGGAGGAACCTTTGTATTTAGCAGAGCATGCCCATTATTCCTTCAGAGTTTCCATAGTGGGAGTTAGGAAGCATCTAGGAAATGTCCCTTCCTGATGCCTGTCCTCAGCCCAGGGTGACAGAAGCAGACCTTGTATTTTTATCCAATGAACTTTGCTCATTTCTGCTGCCAAAAGTAAAGATACAAGAGAAGCCATCACTAAGGCTGACCAGTATGGCATGGTAAGGAGTTATCCTTGATGTTGTGACTCCTGGAAACTGCCCCCCACCCCCTACCCATCGAGTAAAAGAACTGGGCTGCTGCCCACTACTGATCTCTAGCTGGTGAAATGTTTTATTTTAAGCATAATACATGTTTTTACCTGTGGCCTGTGATAAAGCCTGGTATGGGATATTATACTAAAGCTAACATGACATACTTTATAGCATTCTTTTAAGAGAAAATGTCTTTATTTCCTTAGCAAGCTTTAGAAGAGTTAATGAGAATTACAGGACTCAAAAGGATTGTGAATAAGCTATGGTGTGATCATGAAACTTTCTCCTTGCCCTCTATTTAGCACTGGATGTGTGTGAGAAGTGGGGAGAAATGCCACCACTACAACCCAAACATATGAGAGAGGCTGTTCGGAGATTAAAGTCGAAGGGGCAAATACCCAACTCGAAGCACAAAAAAATCATCTTCTTCTAAGACCAAAGCCTATAAAGGCCTGGTACTGGAGGACATGCTGGTTCCAGACTTCAATTTGCAGACTGTGCACTGGTGCTTTAGTATTTTCCCATGATTTTAATGTCTTCCTCAAAACTCTTATGTTCATTACACATGACAGGCATGCGGTGTCTCATACATGCCATGACTAAATATTGGACCTTAGAGTATTTCGAAGCATTTAACTGTCCTTGGCTAGTTGGAAGAAGAAAGACACATAGGCCTTAAGCATCTTCTGGACAGGAGAGCTGCTTTCAGAGAGAATCTTTCCAAGAGAACTTGGATGGTTTCGCATTGAATCCTGAAGTTGCTATGTCTTACATCTGGTTTTAAGTAAATGAAACAACCAGAAACTTTTGACTTGTGATGCTAACATGAACAACGTGTATATGAGTAGTGGAATAGTTTGTCCCTATGAACGTTTAAGATTCTCCTTTGGATTTTGGGGAGTGATCATTAAACTGTTTCCCAACTTGTCATATGTGTATTCATTTTCTGTCTAACTTGGTGGAATGAGGGGAATTCATCATTCTTTTGGTGCCAGAGTAAAACCAATCTTAAGTTTTTTTGTGAACATTTGAGCCTTTCCCACTTTCTACTAGAGCTATTAAATTTTAATCTCATAAGAGTACTTAAAAACAATGTAAAAGCCTCTATATTTCAGATTTCTTATAAATAGATATACCACAACCAGTTCTGTTTAATAAGTTTAATTTGCTTTTTTTCAGGTGGTTCACAGAACCAGTATACTCAAGGTTTGATTAGATATTGCAACATTAAAATTTCCCAATACTGACCAGTATTCCAGTTCATCAGATACATTCTTGTTTTCCTCACATAGAGGGGAATGGAGTGACCTTTTATTGACAGTGATTAGCAGTAATAAGGCTACAATATTAATTGGCAGTCCCCAAGAATTCTTTACTGTCATTCAGTGTCACGGGGAGGAGGACTTTGAAGCTGTTCTCTTTTGAAGCTTTCCTGAGCATGTCTTAGTCAAGATTCCAATTCTGTTTAGCACCCTGAGTTTGGGGAAAGCGTCTGGGCTCACAGAGTTGGGCAAATGTGACTTAACATGTTACTAAGGTCATACCTTTAAACATGTCCTTGGCCAATGGAGAAGACACATATGTCAGTGGGGCATTCCACAAAGAAATGCTGGTAAGACTCAGGCTACATTTTGACCTAATTAACTGGGGGGGGGGGGGGGGGCATTCTCTCAGCTCAAACAGGATTTTTTTTAACAGTTATAGGAACTATAAGGCTAAAATTTACAAATAACGCCCTGGCTGGTTTGGCTCAGCAGCAGGAGCGTTGGCCCATGGACCAAAGAGTTGCAGGTTCAATTCTGGTTAAGGATACATGCCTCAGTTTTGGTTTGGTCCCCAGCCCTGGTCGGGGTTGTGTGGGAAGCAACCAGTTGATGTCTCTCTCTCACACTGATGTTTCTCTCTCTCCCCCACTCCTTCCCATTCCGTCTGAAAAAAAAAATTTTTTTAACAAATAACAAGGGAGCAAGTTAATATTCCAAGTCTAGCCACTTAGCAAAACCTCCCAGTTTAAGATTATCTAAGAGTATTTCACCTTATGTCTGTCATAAGAGATGGGGAAAATAATCCCCATTCAACAATAGCTACTATCCATTCCTACCCAGAGGTGAATGGGAATATTCCTATCCTAACAGAAGGGGGTTGAGGGGCCATAGATGTAGGTGAGTGGATAGTACATTCACCAGAATCCCTTGAAACACTTAATGACTGATAAATCACAAGGTAATGACAGAGCTTTTGCTGTTCTCAAATAACCAGATGTTGTACTACTAGCTTGTGCAGCAATGTTCAGTTATTTCCATAGTTTTATGGTGTTACAATAACTGACTTGAAGTTTAGGCAAGTATTAAATAAAGGAGGAAAAAGAACAAGCCCTTAAGTGTAAAGATTAAAATGGAACGTTCCCATACCACTATGGCAATACTTCAAACTACCCTCCAGAACTAAGGGGAAGCTAATGTAAATGGGTCAAATGGAAGCCTTTAAGTTATGGGATAAGTGAGGGACTGTGTTTATACCTTGTATATTCCATACACAGGAACCCTTCATTTTAGAACCATGAAAAAGAATACATAAGGTTTAGGCCCATGGCAAAATCAGGGTCAGATTAAATATACAGCAAAAAGCAACTAACACAAGAAGAGGATCCATACCTTCTGTCTTCAGTCAAAGAAACTAGGCTAATTATTCCAGTGAGTTGAAAACACAATTTGAGACTGATAACCATCCCTGCAGTGTAGCTACGAGAGATTTACACCAGTGCACATGCACTACAGCCTATCTCCAGTACATCCATGTAAACAGGAAATCAAGACAATCACAGACGAGACTGTTGTAAATGTTTCACAGCTGAAAGGGTGATGTCCACAGCTGGAGTCTTTGAGGGAAGTGGTGCTATCATCACCCCAGACGTTTCCTTGAGGTATTATTTCTTGTTCAGAGTCTTCAAGTTCCAAGGCAGAAATTGTAAGCAGTCCAAAGGAGCTGACACTACCTTTTTTTCCTTCCACTTTTTTCCTTTACATTTATCCTGAGGATAACCAGTTCACATTTCTTCATTGGGGGGGGGGGGGGGGGGGGGGGAATCCTCCTCCTTGCATTGAATTGAAGTATAAAGTTATACAAGATGATTTTTACTAAAATTCCATGGGACAAATGACCACTACCACATTCCCTGAGGGAGGATTTCAAGATAAAATGGCTAAAGCTGCCATATAATGGAAGTAAGAAATTTAGAGCTCTATTTGTCACATGGACAAGAGCTCCCGAGAGCCCAGGACCCTACTGAGCTCTGGCTATTAAAGGGGTTAGCCTTGGCACTTCCCAGATTGTTTCTATTGCCTTCCACCGAGCACAAGCTTAAGGTGAAGGTATACCAGGCAATGTCTGCTAGACATGTTCTTTGCCTAGAGGGATGCCTGAGGGATATGGTGGGTGGGGAGAAGAGAGGAAAATCAGGGTGTTATTTTAAACCAATTCTTGCAAGCCTAAGATTGAATAATTCCATTTTCCAGCTCCTGGATCTCCCCACTCCCCTTCCAAGAACATTAAGAGTGCCATACTTGGGAGGACCAGTGATCCATTTGTTCACTATTCTGCCTTTGAAAGAAGTGTTAAGGGGGAGTATGTGGAGTTGTAGACCCCAGTGGCCTGTAATTCCTTTTGGGAGGCCATGCAAGGACTCCTTACCCATCCTGCACTCATGCAGTTACTGCAGCACCACTTGACAGTGAGCTCCACAAATTTCTGATTTGCTATGAGAAGTGCTTTTTTTTTTTTACCTAAGGCTATGAGGTAGGGTCCCAGAGCTAGTATTTCAGGACCTGGTGAACATCCTCTTGACTGGATATTTGATCAAACACCGACCTCAGCTGTTATCGTTCCAGAACAGAGCCAACATTTTAAAGCTGTGTCACATCTAAATGTCTTCACCCCCTGATCATTTTTGCTATTCTTTGCACCTATATTTGGTAGGTAAGGTCACCCAAGATACACAGGTAATTAAGACACTAGCATGGCTGTGTGTGAGGTCTGTTTCTGTGTTGTCTCCTTGCTGATGATGTTGTTGGCCTTTTAGCCATAGCAGCACATCGACCCCTCCCCTCTCAGCAATGCCTAGGTTTCCTTCCTGAGTTCTAACAGCTCACTGCCTCGTCAGCTGCTAAGCTTTCTGTAAGTGCATTACTTCACCGAACCTCACCTGTCACTTTCCTGAGTCTTCACAGCCTGGCTGTGTCCCTTCTGCAATTTTGCTTTTTTAAAGTCTCTCTGGTTTACCTTTCAATGCCTAGAAGTAGTGACATATGATTGCATTATAATATCCTACTTTCCAGTTCTTTATAAAAATCTTGAATAAAGTTAAAACAAACATCAACCAGTAGGAAACTTCCCCTGTTAACATTCTCTCCAGAAAGATGTTTCTTAAGTCTCTAAGTTGTTTCCTAAGCATGACAAAATATTCCCTCAATGTCATGGTAACTGGTGCTTTTAAAACTGCCTTAGTGAAGAATCTGACAGAAGTTCTTTAAAAGTCGGAACAAATTAGATCTTATTCCTTCCTGAACACACGTTTCTTTTTATCCTCAAAAATCTACAAGTCAGGCATGATTTCCCACAGAGAAACAATTTTATCTTACCTTCCATAGCTCTATGTGATTACACTCTGCTGATACTATTGAATCACTTGTTTACCATCCTGCCAGTTCACGGTGAGTTAGCTGATGTGTTTCTATCCAATCAACACAACTTGAAGTACACAAAACAGTATAGATGAAGGCAGAGTGTTGGGAAGAATTAGGTAAGAAAAAAGGAGGAGGAAATTGTGCTTTTATGAGGCAGGGGCAAATCCTAGCTAGGATGAAGGGTGGTTTTTTTAAGTCAAACTTACATGATTTTGAAAAGCCACAGTGATAGAGGGGAGTGGGATGCAACAGGCTAAGATGTTTGTTACTGTTTAAAACACATTTTCAGCTCCCAAACCAAGTGCTAAGGAGAGTGCAGGCAGAAAGTCATAGTGCTAGGGAGCCGGATGTGCCAGGGACCCCAGGGAGACGGCTCTAGGCAGGCACCTGGGGCTCAGACTCAAGCTCCCCACTGATCCCTACCACATCATCATGCCTTCAACCTAGCTCAGAGTGAATATTTTTTTCTTGACTTAAATTCCAAATAAATTGGGTTATAGAAGGGAAAGATGATACAACTGAGCTGCTACTGTTGTTTACTTTCTACCACAGCATCACAATGATGAAAGCACAACAAAGGAAGCTTAACCCTGAAAAATCTGATTGTAGTATCAGCCAAGATGATGAGCTTGGTTCCCCTTCCAAAAAAAGCAGGGTCCTGGTCTTCCTTATCTTGTGCCTTTCCTGGCTCCCGCCATGCTGGCTGTTGCTGGTTCCACTCTACTACCATGGCTAGAGCTAGGCCAAGAACTGTTCAGGTCTGCTACAGGAAACTCTAGGACAGAGAATCTTTGGTGGCCCTATGGGTGACTGAGGAAGTGAATACTTTCCCTTGTTCACAATGGTTGTGGAGGAAGCAAATGTCTGTCATGAAACCACATGGTGAAATGGCCCTACAGTGTGGAAAAGATTCCACCTAGTGTGCAGGGGACCAAAAGGCTTTACATAGACAAGACATGATACTTGTGCCACGCACAAAGCTGCCCCCAGTTTCTTGGAACATGGTCACACTCTGTCCTATCTGCATCCAAGGACAGCTATCAGAAAGGAGTTAAGCACTCCCCGGTCCCTCTGGCATCCTTAGCCTACTTATTCAACACTGGAGGCTGCCTTCTGTCACAGGTGGTGCTATTGCTGGTGATCTCCTCTCTCCTTGGCACAGATGGCTGAGCCACTGCTATCAGAGCTCAAAGAGGGGGTTATATTTCCTAATCTCCTGAAGAAGTTTTTCTTTATCCTGGTTGGCACTGGCCAATGCTTGTTTGGTTTCTATAAGTTCCTTTTGTAGAGTAGGCAGTTCTTTCACCTGAGGAACAATAAGTAGTTCACAGTTAATGAATATAGTAACACACCTTGCAAAACATACACTCAAGTAAGGGAACAAAGTGGAAAAATGCAAGCAGAGAGATCCACAAGTTTGGTCAACGATCAAGAGAACCCAACTCGATTTTTTCTAAGAGCCTTATCCCCTCTTCAGAGTTCATCAGTTACAGGGACAGCAGCTGGCAGATGTGTGATCAGCAACCATCCACCTCCAGCTCCTGATTTACATCCTCTGTTCAGCACATCTAATGCTAATATGCATTTCCTCACTTGATCCTCACCTCCTTTTACAATGACAAAGAGGCTGCTGCTAAGCGACAGCCCAAACCACCTATCTATACACAGTATGAGAAACATTTTCAATCGTCTGGGTCTTACCAGCTTCTGCAACTACAGTCCCTAAGGGTTTATGGGGAAGGTACTGTTAAGTTAGGTCCTCACCTGCTGTCCAAAAGCCTCCTCTGTGGGCACCAAAAACACCTGTTTCGGGGGTGGCTGTCTCTTCTCATTTTTAGGTACTTCAGCTGATGGTCTATCCTGAGCAGCAGCTGGGGGAAAAAAAAGGTTCTAAATGACAAATTGCTGCCAACATGCAGACAATTCCTAGTTGTCATCTATTTCCTTACAGGAGAAAAAAGGCAGAGGAGCCAGGGAGCTGACAATCCCAACTTACCGCCTATATGGAACACACCATCATCACTCCTCTTCAGCACAACACGCTCCATGGCCAGAGTGACGGGCACGGGGCCTGGAGATGTCGGGTAGATGGGGGGAATATCATCCTGTAGGAAAGAGGGAACCTGCATGATGCCCAAACCAACTCAGCAGTTTAGGTAACAGCCCAGGCTTCTACCACTGGTTCTGAAGCACTGTCATGTCATTCTTTATCCATACATTCTTTTTGTTTTGTTTTGTTTCGTTTCGTTTTTGTTAATCCTCACCTGAGGATATTTTTTCCACTGATTCTTAGAGAGAGTGGGGGGAAGAAGAGAGAGTGAGAGAGAAAAACATGGATGTGAGAGAGACACATTGATTGGTTGCCTCCCTCATGAGCCCCTACTGGGGCCGGGAACTGAACCTACAACCTAGGCACATGCCCTTGACCAGGAATTGAACCCGCTACCCTTTGGCGTGCAGACCAATGCTCTAACCACTGAACAAACTGGCCAGGGCTATCCATACATTCTTGGAAAATATGAGAGGCAGAACTGAGTCTCTCCCATTCTAGAGATGGTGAAATTGAAGCTCACATATACTAGGGATTGCCCAGTTGTGCTGCATGTCAAAGATAAGGTCTCTTGGCCTGGGCCCAGGACTTTCTGACAGCAACACATATTTCTATACTGGTACAACATTAACAGAGAATGCTAATATGCATTTCCTCACTTGATCCTCACCTCCTTTTACAATGAGAAAGCATGAGGCTAACAGCTGTCACTGCCAGAATTCCTTGCCTGACAAAATATAGGGTAAAAACCAAAAGTTTCTCTCACCTTTAAGGTGATTCTGGAGTTCAGGAGCTCAATCTGCATGGGAACTACCACTGGAATCTCCTCATCCTCCAAGAAGGGCCCCAGGCCATTGAGCACTGAGGTGAGCAGTTCAAGATCACAGCCCTGAAGTAACAAATGCAGGAAGCCATTCTTTATGGCTAGGGGAGAATGAACAGCTGCACCAGGCCCCACCTCAAAGCGAAGGCCCACAGCTGGCCTGATGTGGCAAGTCTTCAAAGTTGAAGATTCTTGAAAGCTCATACCTTTGAGAAAACAAAAAAAACGTTAATTATTAGTCAGGGACTGTTCTAAGCACTTTACATATATTTAATATTCATAACAACCCTATGCCAAAAGTATTATCATCCTTCCCATCTTTTTTGTTTGTTTGTTTTGTTTTGTTTTATCCTCACCCGAGGACAATTTTCCATTTTTTCTTCAGATAGAGTGGGAGGGACAGAGAGGAGGAGAGAGAGAGAGAGAAATATCAACATAAAAGGGACCGATCGAGTGGCTGCCACCCACACAACCCAACCAGGGCTGGGGACAAACCGCAGCCGAGGCATGCGCCCTTAGCGGGAACCGAACCCAGGTCTCTCTGGAACGCAGGCCAACGCTCTAACCGCTGAACCAAACCAGCCGGGGCATCATCCTTCCCATCTTAGAGATGAAGGAACTAAGGCAAATAACTTGCCCAAAGTTACACAACTTATAATAACAAGGATAGGATCTGAACACCAGCAGCCTGACTGCAAAATCCATGGGCTTAGCTACTTTGCTGTAATGTCCATGGTAGAAGGGAGTTTAAGGACCAAAAATATCTGGCCTTGCTAATAATGGCCAAGGAAAACTCTGAAAACACAGAACCCTTAACTCCACTAAGTGAATATATTAAACAACTGACAGCCCTGGCCAGTTTGGCTCAGCGGTTGAGCATCGGCCTGCGGACCAGAGAGTCCCAGGTTGGGTTCCCGCTAGGGGGCATGTACCACAAAAAAAAAAAAGACAAATTAATTAACCTGTTTTACTTGTGTAGAAATGTTTGTGTAATTAAAATATGTGTGAAAAGTTTACTTTCACAGAAAAGTTCTCTATATGTATTACTGTCATTTTAAATTTACACTGAATAGATCTAGTAAATGCGTGCATTTACCAGTCACTGCAAGTAAACAAATGCACACGGCTGGGACGTGGTTTAGCGCACATCAGAATATCAGACAGTATGCCTTAAAACTGCTGCAGAAAGTCACACCACATGAAAACAAAACCAGTTACCATGTGTGATTCAGTGTGATCACATGCTAACCATTCGCTGAACATTGTTTACAAACAGTGACTCTTGGATTTAATTTTTTTTCTTCATTGATTTTTAGAGAGAGACAAAGGGAAAGGGAGAAAGAGACAGAAACATCGATGAGAGAGAACACTGACTGGCCTCCTCCTGCATGCCCCCCACTGGGGATTTGACCCACATCCTGGGCATGTGCCCTGACTAAGAATTGAACCAGCGACCTCTTAGTGTATGGGTCGACGCTCAACCACTGAGCCACACTGGCTGGGCGTGACTCTTGGATTTAAATATGTAGACTATAGTTGTAGGTATGTAATATATATGTCAGTGAAATAATTGCAGTGTTTTTTCCAACATATGGCCTATTCACTAAAATTTGTTAAAAATAACAGTAAATTAATAACAAAAAAATAACCTGTTAATTTAATTATAAGCAAATCTTAGTAAAAGCATTCTAAAATTAACAAGGTGTTAATTTTCGCCTATGACATATAAACCAGAAATTTTTGTCCATTAAATCTGGAGTCCGTTAAATTAAGGTCCACAAAATCCAGGGTTTACTGTACTTATGTAACTGCAAATTGGTACAACCATTTTTGGAAAACAAATTGGCATTATCTAATACAGTTAAAGGTATACCTTCCCAAATGACCTAGAAATTATATCCTCAGGAATAAACCCTGGAGACACTCTCTAACATACCTATTAGAAGATATGTACAAGGATGTTCAAGACAACCCTATTTGAAATAGCAAAAATACTGAAAACAATCCAAATGCCTATTCAGAATAGATTGAAGAAGTAAAAAAAAAAAAGGTACAAGAGGTATTTTAGGGGTGATGGTTGCACAACTCTGTCAACTTACAAAAGCTATTTGATCATATATTGACAATGAGAGAATATCATAGTATGCAAATTATACCCCAATAAAGCTGTTTTTAAAAAGCAAAAAGTAGGCCCTGGGTTTGGCTCAGCGGTTACAGCCTCAGCCCAAGGGTTTGATTCCTAGTCAAGGGGACACACATGGTTGCAGGTTTGATCCTGGCCCCGGTAGGGGTCATGTTGGAGGCAACCAATCAATGTGTTTCTTTCTCACATTGATGTTTCTCTCCCTCCTTCCTTTCCAGTCTATTTTAAAAAATCAATGGAGCCCTGGCCAGTTTGGCTCAGTGGTTGAGCGTCAGCCTGCGGACCAGAGAGTCCTGGGTTCGGTTCCCGCTGTGGGCACGTTACCACAAAAAAAAAAAAAAAAAAAAATCAATGGAAAAATATCCTCAGGTGAGGATTAACAAAAAAAAGCAAAAAGTAGTATATTCACACAATAGAATATTAAATAGTAGTAAAAATGAATTATAACTAACTCAAAAATGAATTATAACTAATAATTCTGAATATTTCTAATAGAAATATTTCGAATATTTCTAATATTCAGAATTATTAGAAAAATCTGAACATCATGTTACTTGAAAAAAGCAAATCATAAAAGAATATAAACTATAATTCCATTTAGAATAAATCAAAACCCTGCAAAGCTAAATAATACATTGACACAAACACAGGTGGAAGAATTGTAAAGCAAGAAAGTGATAAATACAAAATTCAGGATTCCATGGCTCCCTCTGACAGATGGAGAGGCAGAAGAAGGTTCAGGAGAGGAGTTCCTGGGACTTCAAGTTAATGGTACTGTTTTATTTATTAAACTAAGTGGTGGGTGAGTTATTGTATTGTTATTTATTTATTTATTTTTTTTATCCTCACCCGAGGACACTTTTCCAATTTTTGTACAGATAGAGTGGGAGAGAGGGAGAGAGAAATAGAGAGAGAGAGAGAAACATCGACGTGAAAGGGACACATCGAGTGGCTGCCACCCGCACGACCAACCAGGGCCGGGGACAAACTGCAACCGAAGTACGTGCCCTGAGCGGGAACCGAACCCGGGTCTCTCGGGACCGCAGGTCAACGCTCTAACCACTGAGCCAAACCGGCCAGGGCTGTATTGTTATTTTTTATACCTTTTAAGTTATCCGATAGTATTTACTCAGTATTTAAATAACAATTTTTTAAATGAAGCATGTATCACAAGCCCAGACTTTTCCTGTCATATTTTATTTAATTATTTTTAAATATGTTTTTATTAATTTTTTAGAGAGAGAGGAAGGGAGAGAAAGATAGAAACATTGATATGAGAGAGAAACATCAATAAGAGAGAAACACTGATCGGCTGCCTCCTGCACACTCCCTACTGGGGAATGAGTCCACAACCTGGGCATGTGCCCTGATCTGGAATTGAACCGGGACCTCTCAGCCCATGGGACATGCTCAATCCACTGAGCCACACCGGCTGGGCTTTACTGTCATTTTTTAAAGTATATGTGATAATTCACATCGAAGGACTTAATCTGAATGACAGAAGCTCCCTGGCCAAATATAATTTGATGTTAGCAGCTATACAAATAAGTGGACACTGTCCTCATGCATAAGCTTAAGGAGCATGTGAGAGATGTAAATGAGGACTAACCTACTGAATGCAAAGCCCCAGAAAGAGCTCTGGGAAGTTCTTTGCAAAAATGAGGCTTCGTTGGAGTCCTCTCTCCCCCTAATGGCTACTGGAGAGAGGGGCCAAGGGCTTGGCTAGGACAGCTGCCACTGGAGCCGAGACAAGAGCCAGTTAAGCTATGGCTGCCCCAGACAAACCCCATCAGCTTGCCTGGAATGGCCATCATCCTTACCCGGGCACTGTCCATGCAGGAACTGCCACAGTCCCACGGTGCCCAGGTACTGGAGGCTCAGTTCCTCTGCTTGCAGGGCCACAGTCAGGTCCTCGCCACGTACCTCAATCCCCAAAGACACCTCATTCACCTTCAGCACCAGAACTGAGATCTGTAAAAGGAGACTCTTTTAGCTGAGTCCTGAGCTTCCAGCCTAGAGCCTACCCTCTGCAGAGAAGAAAGTAGAGCAGCTGACCGGATGAGGACTGAGGTCCTGCCCACTAGGTGAGTCCGAACTGTTAGCCTCCGATGACTCCTGGCCACAACTCCCCACGACAGGGCTCCCTTGAACACCAGTGCTGTCCAAGACACTTGGAAGAGATCCTGGTGGAAGAGATTCTGGACCAGACTCTACATAAGAAAGACAACAAAAGAGTTTGAAGGACAAAAACTTCTGTTCAAATACAATCTCTGAGAACAATGGCAATTGTAGAAACAAAACAAAACATTTATGACATTTATAAGACAACTGGAAATCTGAAGACTAACTACATATTTGATGAATTTAAGGAATCATTGTTAATTTTAAAAAGTGTGATAATGGAAGCAACTCAAGTGTCCATGGATGGATAAATGGATAAAAAAACTGTGAAGGAAATTCTGATACATGCTACAATGTGAATGAACCTTGAGGACATTATGTTAAGTGAAACAAGCCAGTCACAAAAAGACAAGTACTGTATGCTTCCACTAATATGAGGTACCTAGAGTGGTCAGATTCATAGAGAAAGAAAGTAGAATGATGGTTGCCAGGGGCTGGAAGAGGAGGGAATGACAAATTATTGTTTAATGGGTACAGAGTTTTATTTATTTCTTTAATGTTTTTATTGATTTTTTATTTTTTTTATTTTATTTATTATTATGTTTTTTTTATCCTCACCCGAGGACATATTTCCATTTTTTGTTCAGGTAGAGTGGGAGGGAGAGAGAGGAACAGAGAGAGAGAGAGAGAAACATCGATGTGAAAGGAACACATCGAGTGGCTGCCACCCGCACGACTGACCAGAGCCGGGGACAAACTGCAACCGAGGTACGTGCCCTTAGCGGAAACCGAACCTGGGTCTCTCAGGACCGCAGGCCGACACTTTAACCGCTGAGCCAAACCGGCCAGGGTTTATTGATTTTTTGGAGAGAGAAGAAGGGAGAGAGACATAGAAACATCAAACGGCCACTTCCTGCATGCCCCCACTGGGGATCGAGCTCACAACCCAGCCATGTGCCCTGACTAGGAGTATAACTGGGACCACTCAGTCAATGGGATGACACTAAATCCATTAATCCACACCAGCTGGGCCAGAGTTGCATTTTTTTTTTCAAGACTAAAAGAGTTCTGAAGATGGCCCTGGCCAGTTTGGCTCTGTGGTTAGAGCATTGACCCGTGGACCAAAGAGTCATGGGTTCGATTCCAGTCAGGGGCACGTACCTCGGTTGCAATTCGTCCCTGACCCTGGTCGAAGTCGTGCGGGAGTCAACAATCGATGTGTCTCTCTCATGTTCATGTTTCTCTCTCTCTCTCTCCCCCCACTCCCTTAGGGAAAAAAAAAAAAGAGTTCTAAAGATGGATAATGGTGGTGGTTACACAACTGTTTGAATGTACTCACTGCGACTGAATTAAGTTAAAAGAGTTGCCCGGCTGGTGTGGCTCAGTGGTTGAGTATCAACCCATGCACCAAGAGGTTGCTGGTATGACTCCCGGTCAGGACATATGCCCAGGTAGTGGGCTCGATTCCCAGTGGGGGGCATGCAGGAGGCGGCCAATCGATGTTCTCTCTCACTGATGTTTCCATCTCTCTCTCCTCACTTCCTCCCTCTCTAAAAATCAATAAAGGAAAAAAAATATTTATGGATAAAATATGTTCAGAATTTGCTTCAAAATAATATGTGAAGAAAGGAAGTGGGCAGAAATATATGTGAAACAAGAATGACCATGAGTTCTTAATATATACAGCTGCCCTGGCCAGTATGACTCAGTGGTTAGAGTGTCGCCCACAGACCAAGGAGTCCCTGGTTCGATTTCCGCCAAGGGCATGTACCTCGGTTGCAGTTCGTCCCCAGCCCGGTTGGGGTTGTGCAGCTGGCAACCAGTCAGTGTGTCTCTCTCGCACTGATGTTTCTCTCTCTCTCCCTCCTTCTCTCCCTCCATCTCTATCTGGAGATTAATGTAAAAATATCCTTGGGTGAGGATCAAAAAAAAATATCTGCAGCTAGATAATGGGTATATGAGGGTTCAGATTCCATTCTGTCTACTTTTATATATATTTGAAATTTTCCATAAGAAATTAAAAATAGTAACAAAACAAACATGGGCACACACCACCAGCTTAAGAAACAGTGCATTCTTTTTTTATTTTTCACTTAGACACTTAAGGGATGATTTTTAAAGTTTGCATTTGAATAAGCTGAAAGAACCAGTATAACTTCCTGCAGACCAAAATTGATCTAATTCCTAAAAGTAATTTGTTTTATCACAGACAAAAAGTTCCTAGTTATTTTCCAACAATAAAATACATAATCAGACAAAAACCAGACAACACAAACACCACTGACACCAGCCACAAAACTAAAACTATTGCTGCAGCTAGGTGGCTTTAAGACTAGTCTCATTCTTTGATAAAGGTCAGGCACTAAACAATAAACTAGAAGATATGGGGATACAGCTAGAGCCAAAAATCCATTAAAATTTCTCTTTTTTCAATTTTAAGAAAAAGTTTAATTTAAGCGAAGCCAGTTTGAGAAAGACAAGTATCATTTGATCTCACTTATATGTGGAGTTTAATGAACTTAATAAACTGAAGAAAAAAATAGATCCAGAAACATGGAAGTAGGGAACAGATTGACAAACCTCAGAGGAAGGGGGGCAGGAAAAAATAAAGCGAAGAACTTATATACATAACCCATGGACACAGACAATAGTGAGGTGAAGGCAGGGGTGGGGGGTAGGAGGGGAACAATGAGGGAAAAAATGAGGAATATCTGTAATACTTTCAACAATAAAGATAAATTTTAAAAAATGTCTATTTTATCAAATCTCAGCTCCTTCTGAATCCTGCCAGTCTGAATACAGGCAGCAGAAAGAACCCTTTCTGAACAATGGCTGGCTCTGCTTCCACTTACCAGACTCCAAGAGCATCACGAAGCTGTCACTGCCATCACTGTCTACTGAAATCCGGTCTTCAGGGCCACTGCTATCCAATGATACACCATCAAATGACTGCTGAGATACTGTCCTCTTCATGGAAAAAAATCGGAGTCGGGAAGCACCTCCACTCACTGGGGCTGCCACCCTCTCATCTATCTTGGCCACGGGCTCCCTGTTTAAAAAACAAAAAACAAAACCCACAGATATGGCTTCAGAAACACTGTTCCGTTCCCTTGTAATACCTATCCCTTTCAGCCCAGGTAGTTTTTATATACATAAAATTTGATGTCAATTATTACCTCCTATAGGTAGGCCACACCATTTTAACAGCTGGCCTTTCTGAATCCGCATATCCAGCATTTCCAACTGCTTAATAAGCACCTCTCCCTTATCAACACTGAATGTCAAAGTTATTTAAGGTCAATCCATATAGAGAAAAGACCAACTACCTACAGCCCCTGTGCTAATGAATGGCACCTGAATCTACCCACATTCATTCCATAAGTATTTACTGAAAAATATCTGCATACAAGTCACAGTACTAGGCACAGGGCAGAAGTGGGGGGGGGGATAAAATGATGAATAAAACATCTTTTGTCCTCAAAGAATTTATAATCTAGAAAAAGGGAAGAGACTCATACAAAAATAACATTACATGGGAGTAAGTTACACACACCATAGGAGAGGGACAGAGGTACAAGTCAAAGACCAGGCAATATCAAAGAGGAGAAAGGATGAGGAAAAGGGGATCAAGAACGACTTTGTGGAAGGAGACAGCATTTGAGTTGGTCCTTGAAGGTCTGTGAAAGAAATAAGGAAAAGGCATTTTATGAAGAAGAAACAGCATGAGTAAAGGCATGGAGCCAGAAAACAAAGAGTACCTTTAGAGACTAGTAAATAAATAGCCCACCCCAACCGGAGCATAAATTTTGTTAGGGAATGCAATGGGAAGATAAAGTTAGAAAGACATAACAGTGAAAAGACCTTTTAATCCTACCCTCCTATTTTACAGATGAAGAAAATGACTCATGGTCACAGTTAAAGATGGAATTAAGAAAAACCCAAGTCTACTACCTTCTTGTAAAGCACTTTTTTCACTTTACCACATATAATTTGTAGTCAGATTATAGAAAACCCTGGATAAAAGAGTGTATCTTGGAAAACTATAAAGTGCAGGAGGCATATGGGAAATCTCAGCTCTTTCTGCTCAGTATTACTATGAACCTAAAGCTGCTCTAAAAAATAAAATCTATTTAAAAAAAAGAAAAACCTGTAAAGTGCCATGTGAAATATACCATAATAACTGATTATGCCACATTAAAAATTTTAACTAGCCCAGCCAGTGTGGCTCAGTGGTTGAATATCGACCCATGCACCAAGAAGTCACCAGTTCGATTCCCAGTCAGGGCACATGCACATGTGGTCCCCAGTGGGGGCATGCAGGAGATGGCCAATCGATGTTCTCTCTCATTCATGTTTCTATCTCTCTCTCCCTCCCTTTCCCTTCCTCTCTCTCTAAAATCAATAAAGAAGCCCTGGCCGGTTTGGCTCAGCGGTTAGAGCGTCAGCCTGCAGTCCGGAGAGACCCGGGTTCGGTTACCGCTAAGGGCACGTACTTCGGTTGCAGTTTGTACCCGGCCCTGGTTGGTCGTGCGGGTGGCAGCCACTCGATGTGTCCCTTCACATCGATGTTTCTCTCTCTCTCTCTCTTCCTCTCTCTCCCTCCCACTCTATCTGTACAAAAAATGGAGAAATGTCCTCGGGTGAGGATTAAAAAAAATAAAATAAAATAAAAATAAAATCAATAAAGAAAAAAAATTTTTTTTTAAGTTTAATTAAATTCAAGGAGTATAAGGAAAAAGCCTGAAGGTTTTACAGTAGGGAAATAAGATCACACCTGTGTTTTAGGAAGTTTGACCTGGCTTTTCAAACAAGTTAGAAAGAAAAGACTTCAATTAGGAATTCAATTAATAGTTTTCTAAAATAGTTGACATGTGGGAACAGACAGGAACAACTGATGTGAAACTCTCTAAATGAGGAACTCTGGGTGTAGGGCTCAGCAGTGTGTGTTTCCACAAGCCCTCCAGCTGATTCTGAAGCATCCCTGCTCCAGGAATTGTGGACAGAACTTGACAAACAACAGAAAGAGCAGAGCTAAAATGTAGAACTTGCACAAGCAGACTGATGTTACCAAAAAAAGAAAGAACTGGTCTGTGGAGAGATACGGAATTTAGTTTTAGACACATGAGTTTTGAGGAAATCCTGGGACATCATGTGGAACTGTGTGCAGTAGATAGTTTTAAGTGAAGAGAGCAGGGGACAGGAAGGAAGTCAGGACTGTAAATATAGAACAGAGCATAAGTAAGGAAATGGATAAAATAACCTAGAAAGAAAGTATTCAAAAGTACAGACTGATATAAACCTTCTAAAGATTTGGCAAATGTATCAAGAACCTTAAGAATGATTGTAGTGTTTGACCCAATAGTTCTATTTCTAGATTTTTATTCTGAAGACTTAGATTTGCACAAAGAGTGGTATTCACAAAAATAAGAACATTTAACACAGCATTAGTTTTACCTGAAAAAAAAAAACTGGAAACAGACTAAATGAGCCCCACCGAGATAGTGGAATGGATGAATAAATTATGATACATTGGTTTGCTAGAACATAATAAAGCAATTAAAAAGTCTGCACACAAATGCCTAATGAATGGGGAAATATTCACAATAAAACATTAAGTGGCCCTGGCCAGTTTGGCTCAGCGGTTAGTGTCGGCCTGCGGTCTGGAGAGACCCGGGTTCGGTTCCCGCTAAGGGCACGTACTTCGGTTGCAGTTTGTCCCCGGCCCTGGTTGGTCGTGCGGGTGGCAGCCACTCAATGTGTCCCTTCACGTGGATGTTTCTCAGTCTCTCTCCCTTCCTCTCTCTCCCTCCCACTCTATCTGTACAAAAAATGGAAAAATATCCTCGGGTGAGGATAAAAAAAAACAAAAAAAAACATTAAGTGAATAGCCCTGGCCGGTTTGGCTCAGTGGTTGGAGCATCGGCCTGTGGACCAGAGAGTCCTGGGTTCGGTTCCCACTAGGGGCATGTACCAAAAAAAAAAAAAAAAACACATTAAGTGAATAAAACTGGACATTTTCTATAGAAATTGAATCCCATTATAAAAACAATATTTGTGTATATATGTGTATAAACATATAAGCATTCACATGGCTACACAAATATATGTGTAAATGTTGGAAGAAAATAGATCCAAATATAAATAGTGGCTATCTCTGGATAGAGTCATTACAAGTGACTTTCATGTTTTCTTCTATATTCTTCTATTTTCTACATTGTCAACAAAATGAGCACAATTATTTTTATAATTAAAAATTATGACCAAGGTGACGAGAATAGTTACATTTATAGGATACAAGTAAGAAGAGAGCAACCAAGGAAGAAAAGATTCCTCCTTTCAAAGTGTAGCCGGGTACACTTTGTCACACATGCTCAGGATGAAGTGACTAGAGGGAGTCACTGCTACAGAGTAGTCCAGGGTAAGGAGGCCTGAGAAAAGGCCACTGGTCTACCCAGTCAGGAAGTCATTGCTGGTGTTTAAAAAGGAGCTTGTATCACACACCTTTCTTTGCTCTTTTCTACCTCCGCTCTTTTCCCATCTCCCTTACTCTTCTCCATTTAGAAAAGGCAGTACAGCCCTGGCCGGTTTGGCTCAGCGGTTAGAGCCTCGGCCTGCGGTCCTGAGAGACCCGGGTTCGGTTCCCGCTAAGGGCGCGTACCTCGGTTGCAGTTTGTCCCCGGCCCTGGTCGGTTGTGTGGGTGGCAGCCACTCGATGTGTTCCTTTCACGTCGATGTTTCTCTCTCTCTCTGTTCCTCTCTTTCCCTCCCACTCTACCTGAACCAAAAATGGAAAAATGTCCTCCGGGGAGGGGAGGGGGAGGGAGGGGAGGGGAGGGGGAGGGGGGAGGGGAGGGGGGAGGGGGAGGGGGGAGGGGAGGGGGAGGGGGAGGGGAGGGGAGGGGAGGGGGAGGGGAGGGGAGGGGAGGGGAGGGGGAGGGAGGGGAGGGGAGGGGGAGGGGAGGGGGAGGGGAGGGGGGGGAGGGGAGGGGAGGGGAGGGGAGGAGGCAGCACATTTGGTGACCGGAAGTCCAGGCTTTCAATCCTCACCCCACCACTCACAAGTTGTGTGATCTTAAGCAAGTTTCTTACCTCTCTGAGCCTGTTTCCTCATCTGCAAAATGGGGAATGATATCAGTACCAGCCTTATAGAATTGTTACAAGAATTCAATGGATTCATATTGTAAGTATGTAGGACAGTGCCTGACACATAGAAAGCATTCAAAAAATGTAGGCTCCAATGAGTGTATCATTCACCCTTTTAAGTTTTCCTCTCTCCTTCCTCCTAGTCTGTGTATGCCTAGCAGGTTCTAGCACACCCACAGGCAATGTTGACAGACACACTAAAGACAATCCACTTAGACAAAAGCTCTAAAGCCACCAATTTCTAACAAGGTCCCCCAAACACAGAATGTACCAGCAAAGATTTCCCGTAGTCTTCATTACTCTTCCTAAAACCACAAAGCACTCAATGAAAAAATCTTTCCACTCTTCTGACTACATTTCTGTTTTTTTGCTTACTCCCTACTTATCTCCAGTGCCTAACACAGAGACTAGCACACAGTAGGACTCAAAAATTACTGCTGAACGAGTAGATGTAGTTCTTCCTTCTCTATTCTGGCAGACATTGATAAGGCGATCAAGTGTGCCAGAAAGAGCAAGTCCAAAGCCCCAGTTTTCTTTTTCTTTTGGTTAATTCTCACCCAAGGATATTTTTTCCATTGATTTTTAGAATGGAAGAGAGGAGGAGAGGGGGAGAGGGAGAGGGAGAGAAGGAGAAAAACATTTGATGTGCGAGAGACACATCGATTGTTTGCCTCCTGCATGCGCCCTGACCACGGCTGGGGATCGAACCTGCAAGCCAGTTACATGCCCTTGACCAGGAATCAAACCACAACCCTTTGGTAAGAGGACCGATGCTCTAACCACTGATCAACACCAGCCAGGGCCCAAAGCCCCAGCTTTTTATCCACAACATAGGATTTATGGGCGCATCCTCCCTGAGGCCTCAGTTTCCTCAGCTATAAACTAAGGATACAAATATTTGTGGCTACCTCACCAGGCTGTGGTGGGGATCAAATCAAACAAAATACTATACTACAGTGCACTGAAGAGAATAAAATATAACACAGATAGCATGTATTATTATTCTGATATAGCATATCTGTATCAATATCAGTGAATCAGAGAAAGAAAATAATTTAATCCTAAGAAGCAATAAACACTAACTTGAAAACTGCCCAAGAGCCCTGGCCGGTTTGGCTCAGCGGTTAGAGCGTCGGCCTGCGGTCCTGAGAGACCCGGGTTCGGTTCCCGCTAAGGGCACGTACCTCGGTTGCAGTTTGTCCCCGGCCCTGGTCGGTTGTGCGGGTGGCAGCCACTCGATGTGTCCTTTTCACGTCGATGTTTCTCTCTCTCTCTCTCTCTCTCTCTGTTCCTCTCCCCCCCCCCCTCTACCTGAACAAAAAAAAAAAAAGAAAACTGCCCAAGAATAGGCTGTGATATGTGGAGGCTTGTGAAAACACATGGGATTTTGCGTATTCTATTGCAATTTCCGGCTCTTCCCCTATCACAGAATTAGATGTAGCCTGAAAAGAGTCCAACTGGTATACCTGTATCCTCCAGGTACCTGAAAAGCCCTCTACTGCCCTGCAGGCAGCTCTGAAAACCAAAGGCTTTGCCACATGAAATAGGCCATTCTATGTATTTTCTGGACTGCACGGTACATCCCAACCTAAAAATGCTCACAGTTAAGAGACTGTGAGTCCAACAACCACATCTCGGAGGAAGAAATGGAGTAACTGAAGGAGGCAGAGAACCACTCACTTGGCTGGGGGCAAGGACAACATCTTGTGCATGGTGGAGCTCATTCGGTCTCTGCCCAGACTGAAGGCATCCTTGGTCAAAGACACAGCTTCCTTGGTGAGGCCCATGGTGGCATGTAGAGCCTCCTTGGTGGCATCCTTGGTCATGTGAATAGCACTTGACAATTCTCCTTCAATGTTCTTCAAGGGCATGAGCTCACCTTGTCCATTCATAGCTGTATCTCTAACACCTGGGGACTTCAGGGCAGATGGTGAGCTGGATGCTTGGGCCTTGCTCAGTCTCTTGGCCTGTAGGGAATCGACTGCCACATGGCCCTTCCCTGCCAACTGCTGTGCAAGAGAATCTGAGTCCTGCAGTTCCCCGTTGCTATGGAGAGGCAGTGGCCTATCCTGGGGTGCATCCAGATTTTCAATGCCACCATCCTGCAGAACCTTCTCAGGGCTTTCTGGGCCCTGGTCTGAGGAGACATCAGACTTCAGCTCGCGATCCTCCGAAGGCGACAGCTCTGAATCTATAAGGCTGGTGGTATCTGAACCTGCAGAGTCACCTTCGGCAGCACCAGGGGCAGGATGCATGAGCAGAGCCACCTCAGCACTGGGAAAGAGGACCCCAATGCAAGCTGTCTGCTCCTGCAGGGCAGCCCCAGTCATGGCCTCTGTATCCTTGGTCAGCTGCTCCTGAAGACGCTGGAGCACCTCCTTCAGGCGGAGCAGAGCCAAGTACTGGTAATGGTCAAGCCTCACACGGACATGTTCAGGGGAGTGCACGAGCATGTGAACATCTGCCACGTCCTCCAGCTTGGCCAGAAGCTCTTTGTTGTCCATGCCACCACTGTCTTCTCTGAGAATCTCCTTGCCTTCTGTAAGGCCTGACAGGCTTTTCAAATCATGCTCAGTCTTTGACCTCACATGGGGCACAGTGTCAGGGGCAAGGGTCTCAGACTGAACAGGACTGCCAAAGCTGGCTGATGATTTCAGCTTCCCTTCTGCAGCTAAAAGTAGCTTCTGTGCCTGAGCTTGCTGCCAATGAAGTGGTAGGCAGGCCCAAATGGACAAGGGAAAGGGGGCCACAAAATTCAAGGTACGGCCTTTGAAGTTCTCTGTTCCCTCAAAGTCCAAGGAGATCTGGGGAAAGTGGATGGACCAGAGATCCTGGGAAGCCATAGGCCTCTGGGGAGGAAGGGTATTTGGATGAGGGTGGCTGGAATCCATCTGGAAGGCATGATGTAAAAAAAGCATGTGCAGAAGGCTGAAGCCACCTGGAACCTTGGGGAACTGAACATAATTGGAATGAAAGAACTCTGCAGTAGCAAAACCCTGGAAGAGACTGTGAAGGTCTGGGCAGCTGCAGTGTGGGGCATGACGTGTATTGGTGGCAGTCATGCCTGATGCAGAGAAGATAAGGGCCTGGGGCCGATGCAACCCAGCCTGCTCTCTCTTCTCCAGTGGGAAGCTCACCTTCAGAGAGAAAAAAAAAACCCACTTCAGAATGACCATCTGACTATCTCCATACCCCACCATTAACACACAGTGAAAGACCATTTTGGCTGTAAAACTGTTTTTCTTACTTCTATCAAATGGACGTGCAAGACCCTACATCCTAACAATGAGGGAAATGCAGCTGTGGCTGTCAACAGGGAACACATATCACACTCTCTCCCTACCTTCAACCAGAAGGCATCCAGTCGAATGTCCAAGTGTTCATCTTTCTGGATTGAATCTTCCAGTTTGTAGATAGCTTTGAACTGCTCCAAGCTACGGTATAAATCCAGGCAGAAGAGGTTTCCCCAGAGCAAGCTGACAGGATCCATAGTAAATGTCAGACTATTTAATTCAATGTAGAGATTGGGACAGGGAACTAGAAAGCAGAGAAATAAAAACTGCTATGTACAAAGTAACAGCTCGACTCCTACTTACCAGCTAATATTAATTTTACTATCAAGTCAGCAAAGGTGCCCTGGCCGGTTTGGCTCAGCGGTTAGAGCGTTGGCCTGCGGTCCGGAGAGACCCGGGTTCGGTTCCCGCTAAGGGCACGTACCTTGGTTGCAGTTTGTCCCCGGCCCTGGTTGGGTCGTGTGGGTGGCAACCACTCGATGTGTCGCTTTCACGTCGATGTTTCTCTCTCTCTCTTTCCCTCTCACTCTATCTGAACAAAATATCGAAAAATGTCCTCGGGTGAGGATAAAAAAAAACAAAAACAAACAAACAAAAAAGACAGCAAAGGTACATATTTATACAGGGCACAGTTTTTAACAAAGGTGTGTTAAACTAACTCAAACACCCTAAACTCCTAACAAATGAGAACATAGGTAGTAGCCCCAAGTCTGACAAATGGGAAGAGCATGCCTGGATAGTAAGAAATGACCACCTCCGTCCGGCCAATGTAGCTCAGTGGTTGAGCGTCGACCCATGCACTAGAGTTCACTGGTTCGATTCCTGGTCAGGGCACATGCCCTGGTTGTGGGGCTGATCCCCAGTGGGGGGCATGCAGGAGGCGGCTAATCGATGTTCTCTCTCATCGAAGATTCTATCCTTTCCCTTCCTCTTGCTCTAAAATCAATAAAGAGAAAAAAAAAAAAAAAAAAGCCCTGTCTGGTTTGGCTCAGCGGTTAGAGCGTTGGCCTGTGGACCAGAGTCCTGGGTTAAATTCCCGCTAAGGGCATGTACCTCGGCTGCAGTTTGTCCCTAGCCCCAGTTGGGGTCGTGTGGGTGGCAACCATTCAATGTGTCTCTCTCACATCGATGTTTCTCTCTCTCTCTCTTCCTCCCACTCTCCCTCCTGCTCTATCTGAAGATAAATGCAAAAGTGTCCTCGGGTGAGGATAAAAAAAAAAAAAAGAAATGATCCCCTCTGATGCTTACCTGGAAGCTCTTGATTATCTGGGAAATAATACTCTGTGAACTCAATATGAATGGCAGAGGCCTGAGAGGGTAGGTTGTGAAGTTTCCGACTGCAGGAAAGGAGTGTCGATGGCTTCTTACCGGACTGTCCAGCTGTAGACACCTATGCAATGGCAAATTGCTATTAGCATCTATGCTGCACCCAAAATAGAATTTCCTCAGCTATCCTTCCAAAGTCATCCCAGGGAGTATAGTGCTTTTACATGTATTTTACACATATGCCAGGAATTCTCAAACCTGCATAACACTATCCACAAGTCTATGTTTTCAATGGAAGGTTTGTAGTAGGGTATTCACAGGAAATTAAGGGAATCCCAAATCTGGATCTCAGCAGCTATGTTCAGAAGGAAACAGACGGAAGTGTTGACCCACCCCAGAAGTTAGGGAAACAGCCCCCAAATTCTACAACTTTGTTCACACTTGTTGCCTTCCAAATGAACTTCCCCAGCCCTTTCCAAGCACATTTCCCCAAGTCCTGGGCTCCTCACCTGGTGGATATCCAAGTCATCCACCCGTATTACCATGCAGCTGGAGCGTAAGCGATTCCATGCCGGAGGTTGAAAGGTAGCCTGTCGGCCCTGAGAAGGGCTTCTCTCAAGGGGATTCTTTCGAGGACTGGAGAGAGAATCTAAATAAAAATTAAAAGGTGAGAAAAGAATAAGACATATTCAACTCTCATTATTAATAGAATTAGGAAGTAAAAATCCTAATTAGGATTATAAAGTAATGATCCTAAGATCATTCATGTTATATGTAGGAAAGACAGCTTAACACTGTCTAGCTTCTGGATGGAACTCAAAAATTTTATTCTCCTTAAGACCAAGGTAACAGCCTACTGAATAGAGGTGATGACAACCTCTCTCAACATTGCAGGATCCCTGGGGACAAAAAGGACTCTGTAAAGAAAACAGTCACTAATGATTATCCATGGGATAAGGTTGAGATAACTAACTAGTCCAGTGCTTTATCCCCACTGGATATTCAAAGGTAAATGGCCAGAAGCTGAGCAACAGAAGTCCTCCAGCTTCTCATAACCCACCTGCTTTCTTCCGGAAGGAAGAGTCTACCCCCAAGTGCCAGGGAGGCTTCAGACCCGTCTCCTCATGCCACTTCTCCATTTTAGTCTTAAATTCCATCACCAGTTTCTGGGCCCACTGGCCTCGGTTCTCCATGGCCTCACAGTGCCGCACCCAGTGTTTGCAGCTATCACCTGTGCAACAAAAAGAAAAAGATTTTAGTCCAAGATCATAATCCAGTGTTCCAATTTCTCCTTTCCATTGGTACAGCGTAGTTCAGAATCTGATCCCTCAGCCCCAATCCAAAATTCTCTGAGATAAGTAAAAACTGTCCAGTGAGAGCATGCAAGTTCTTCTGGACTCCATGTGTGATTTTCCCCTTGGGTTCCTAAAGCCCAGCTTCTGACTGCTGCCATCTTTGACTATAGACTACTAGAGAGGCTCTAAAACCAGTGGAAGGAAGGGGTAGAATCAAAGGCAACATCTCAGGGATTGCCTTCTCTCCCTACTTCCCCTCTTCCCTGATAAAGAATCATCAATAATGGACCCTGAACGTTTCCAGGTGTCCTCTGGAAGAGGGCAATTTCTAATACCTCTTGTGCTGTAAGTCCTCGCACCCTCCTAAAGGGAAGTCAGGGATGGACCCGGGACTCTGTGCTCAAGACCTGGGCCAGGCTAGAATTGCCCCATTCAGAATTCCCATACCTGCCCAGTGGAAGGGGTAATAGTCAAATGCCATCTTGCGAAAGGTAAGCTGCATGGCACCACCCATGAGTCTGTTTGCAGAGACACCTGTAAGAGAAAAATAAAGGTGACTAGTAACAGAAGGAACAAAGGTTAAACACCTCTTGAAGCACTAAAAGTTCTCTTGAGGATCTGATACACGCATGGTCCACCTGAAAGGCCATGACATCAAGTGATTTTCAAGACTGAATCCCTCCACTTTCGAGTTGCAACAGTCAACAGACATACTCTAACAGACCAAAAAAAAGTATGTTCCACTGTTTCTGTAAATAGCTGCCAAAGTTCCAGAAAGGTCAAAGGAACTGCAAATCTCATAATTCAGGAATTCCAATCCTAGGTCTTCTATAGACACACTTTATCAACCTTGACTGATTGATTGCCCAAACCTAACAATACTTGTATTACTGTCCCTAACCACAATACCAGGAGAGGCATAAACCAGATTCCCCAAAATACAGGACCCATATTTTTTCCTTTCATATCCTGGACTCGAAGCAAAAGCTGTGATATTAAACAGTCTTTATATACAGTATATACAAAATACCATGGAATACTAAAAATACGGCAATAACAAGGACATAATATAATAAACACATGCTTGGGGGGGCAGGATAGGCAGAAAGGTGTGTGCCAGGAAAAAGGAGAAAAATCTGTAACAAAAATAAATTAATATAAATAAATAAATAAATGCACACACACACACACACACATGCCCTGGCCAGTTTGGCTCAGCTGTTGGAGCATCGACCCTCGATGAAGGGTCATGGGTTTGATTCCCAGTCAAGGGCACAGAACTTGGTTGCAGTTTTAATTCTTGGCCCTGGTTGGATCGTGTAGGAGGCAACCAACTGATATGTCTCTCTCACATCAATGTATGTCTCTCTCTCTCTCTCCCTCCTTCCCCTTCCACTCTACCCCAAAATTCAATGAAAAAATATCCTCAGGTGAAGATTAACAAAAAATAAATAAAAATTAAATATACAAAATATTGTAGGTAAACTGGAAATTTTAGCAATAAGTCAAATATTGTATTGAGTTCCGGTCAAGATGGCAGGGTAGGTAAATGTGGCTCTCACATCTTCCCACAACCATATCAAAATTACAACTAAACTACAGAACAATCATCATTCAGAACCACCTGAAATCTAATTGGATGGAAGTCCTACAACTAAGGAATTAAAGCAGCACCCACATGGGACTGGTAGAAGGGGCAGAGGCGTGAACCAGCTGGTCCCACACCCACTTGTGGCAGATAAAAATCAGGAGGACACCTCAGCTGGGAAGGTCCTCCCTGAGGACTGAGGGGTCCCCGTCCCACACCAGGTGCCCAGCTCAGGGTTCCAGTGCCAGGAAGAGAAGTCCCCATAACTTCTGGCTGGAAAAACCAGTGGGAACTGAGACTGAGATTGCTGGAGCCCCAGGCAGTCCCTCTTAAAGAGTCCTCGCATGGACTTACTAGGACTTGCTCCCTCCGAGCTCAGAGGGGAGGCATCTTGAGGGGCGCCAGAGACATACAGGGAAGAACTGAACTGTTGGCCTCGGGATGAGGGCTGGAGAGGCGTCCTTCACCTGGACAGATGTGCTGGCGGAGACTAATGTTGCTTTGGTGAGCCCTTCCCTGGGACGGCAGGGAATCAATAATAGAGTAGGTGAAGCTAAGAAGCAAATCATCGATTTGGAATATAAGGAAGCAAAAAACACCCAATCAGAACAGCAAAAAAGAAAAAAGAATCCAAAAACATGAGGTTAGTGTAAGGAGCCTCTGGGACAACTTCAAGTATGCCAACATTTGTATCATGCAGATACCAGAAGGAGAAGAGAGAGAACAAGAAACTGAAAACCTATTTGAAACAATAATGGCAGAAAACTTCCCTAACTTGGTGAAGGAAACAGACATACAAGCCCAGGAAGCACAGAGAGTCCCCAACAAGATGAACCCCAGGAGGTCCACACCAAGACACATCATCATCAAAATGCCAAAGGTTGCCCTGGCCGGTCTGGCTCAGCAGTTAGAGCGTCCGCCTGCGGTCCGGAGAGACCGGGGTTCGGTTCCCGCTAAGGGCATGTACCTCAGTTGCAGTTTGTCCCCAGCCCTGGTTGGTCATGCGGGTGGCAGCCACTCGATGTGTCCCTTTCACATCGATGTTTCCCTCTCTCTCTCTTCCTCTCTCTCCCTCCCACTCAGTCTGTACAAAAAATGGAAAAATGTCCTCGGATGAGGATTAAAAAAAAAAAAAACGCCAAAGGTTAAAGACAAAGAATCTTAAAAACAGCAAGAGAGGCCTGGCTGGTTTGGCTCAGCAGTTGGGGCATCGGCCTGCAGACCGGAGAGTCCTGGGTTCGGTTCCCACTAAGGGCATGTATCTCGGTTGCAGTTTGTCCCCGGCCATGATTGAGGTTGTGTGCGTGGCAGCCAGTCGATGTGTCTCTCTCACATCGATGTTTCTCGCTCTCTCTTCCCCCTTCTCTCCCTCCTGCTCTGTCTGAAAATGAATGTAAAAATTTCCTCAAATGAGGATTACAAAAAAAAAGCAACAGAGAAAAGCAGTTCGTTACCTACAAAGGAGCTCCCATAAGACTGTCAGCTGAGCCCTAGACGGTTTGGCTCAGAGGTTGGAGTGTCAGCCTGAGGTCCAGAGAGACCTGGGTTCGGTTCCCGCTAGGGGCATGTGCTTCGGTTGTAGTTTGTCCCCAGCTCTGGTTGACTCGTGCAGGTGGCAGCCACTCGATGTGTCCCTTTCACGTCAATGTTTCTCTCTCTTCCTCTCTCTCCCTCCCACTCTATCTGAACAAAAATGAAAAAAATGTCCTCGGGTGAGAATTAAAGAAAAAAAAAAAGACTGCCAGCTGATTTCTCAAAAGAAACTTTGCAGGCCAAAAAGGAGTGGCAAGAAATATTCAAGGTGATGAAAAGCAACAACCTATAAACTATGATTACTCTATCCTGCAAAGCTGTCATTTAGAATCGATATGAAATGTTGAAGGGTCTTCCTAAAGAAGAATAAGAACAAAAATATGAACAATAAAATGCCAATAAATACCTATCTATCAACAATTGAATCTACAAACAAAATGAGCAAGCAGAACAGAAACAGATTCATAGATACAGAAAACTTTTTTGTTGCTTGCCAGATGGGTGGGGGCTGGGAGATGGGTGAAAAAGATGAAGGAATTAAGAAGTACAAATTGGTTGTTAGACTGATGAACCTCAAAGGGAAGGGGGAGGGAGGGCAGAATGAGATAAACCAAAGAACTTCTATGCATAACCAACTAGACACTGACAATAGTGTGAAGAAGGCAGGAGGGGGGGCAGGATTGGGGAGAAGGGGGTCAATGGAAAAAAAAAGGGAGAGCATCTATAATACATTCAAAAATAAAGATGAGTTAAAAGAAAAAAAGAAAAGCAAACCCTGGCAGGTTTGGCTCAGAGGTTAGAGCATCGGCCCACGGACCAGAGTGTTCCAGGTTCGGTTCCCGCTGGGGCATGTAACTCGGTTACGGTTTGTCCTCGGGCCCGGTACGGGTCATTTGGGTGGCAACCACTCAATGTGTCTCTCTTGCATCGTTTCTCTCTCTCTCTCTTCCTCCCTCTCTCCCTCCTGTTCTATTGAAGATAAATGCAAAAATGTCCTCGGGTGAGGATAAAAAAGAAAAAATCAGGAGGGTGCCTGGCCAGTGTGGCTCAGTGGTTGAACATTGACCCAGGTGCACCAAGAGGTCACCACTTCAATTCCTGGTCAGGGCACATGCCCAGGTTGTGGGCCACATCCCCAGTAGGGGACATTCAGGAGGCAAGCAATCTATATTCTCGCTCCTCAATGTTTCTATCCCTCTCTCCTTCGCCCTTCCTATCTCTCTCAAAATAAATAAATAAATAAATAAATAAATAAATAAATATCAGTCCAACCGGTGTAGCTCAGTGGTTGAGCATCGACCCATGCACCAAGAGGTCTCCGGTTCGATTCCCGGCCAGGACACATGCCCAAGCTGTGGGCCCAATCCCCAGTGGGGAGCATGCAGGAGGTGGCTAATCAATGTTCTCTGTCATTGATGTTTCAATCTCTCTCTCCCTCTCACTTTCTCTCTCTCTAAAATCAATAAAGGAAAAAAAAGTTTTAAAAAATAAATAAATAAATAATAAATTTTAAAAAAAAATCAGGACTACCACAGCTGTGAAGGTCCCCCTGAGGAGAGAGGTGTCCAAGCCCTGCACCAGATCCCCAGCCTGGGGTTCAAGTGACAGAAAGAGAAGTTCCATAACTTCTGGCTGTAAAAATGAGTGGGCAGTGTGGCTGAGCGGCACAGGCTGAATTAGACCCATGTGCTCTGAGCTCCAGCACTGGGGCAGCAGCTCGAAAGGCACAGGGACATACAGGGAGTAACTGAATTGTCTGGCATCAGGGCAAGAGCAGAGGGTGGGGGGACCAAGGTAAAGCCAAGAAGCAAACCATCGATTTCGAATATAAGGAAGCAAAAAATCACCCAATCAGAACAGCAAAAAGAGAAAAGAATCCAAAAAAAGAGGATAGTGTAAGGAGCCTCTGGGACAACTTCAAACATTCCAACATTCGCATCTTGCGGGTGCCAGAAGAAGAGAGAGAACAAGAAATCGAAAACCTATTTGAAACAATAATGGCAGAAAACTTCCCTAACTTGGTGAAGGAAACAGACATACAAGTCCAGGAAGCACAGAGAGTCCCAAACAAGATGAACCCCAAGAGGCCCACACCAAGACACATCATCATCAAAATGCAAAAGGGTCAAGACAAAGAAAGAATCTTAAAAGCAGCAAGAGAAAAGCAGAGAGTTACCTACAAGGGAGTTCCCATAAGACTGTCAGCTGATTTCTCAAAAGAAACTTTGCAGGCCAGAAGGGAGTGGCAAGAAATATTCAGAGTGATGAAAAGCAAGAACCTACAACCAAGATTACTCTATCCTGCAAAGCTGTCATGTAGAATTGATGGCCATATAAAGAGTTTCCCAGACAAGAAAAAGTTAAAGGAGTTCATCACCACCAAACCGTTGCTATATGAAATGTTGAAGGGTCT